GCAAAAAACGGCCTGAAACTCAACATCAAAAAAACTAAGATCATGGCCATTGGTCCCATCACCTCCTGGCAAATAGAAGGGGGAAGGCAGTGACAGATTTTACTTTCTTGGGCTCCATGATCACTGCAGATGGGGACAGCAGCCACGAAATTAAAAGACGCCTGCTTCTTGGGAGGAAAGTGATGACAAACCTCAACAGCATCTTAAAAAGCAGAAACCTCGCCTTGTCGACAAAAGTCCGCATAGTCAAAGCTATGGTTTTTCCAGTAGCAATGTATGGAAGTGAGAGCTGGACCATAAAGAAGGCTGACTGCCGAAGAATTGATGCTTTTGAATTGTGGTGCTGGAGGAGGCTCTTGAGAGTCCCTTGGACTGCAAGGAGTACAAACCTATCTATTCTAAAGGAAATCAACCCTGAGTGCTCACTGGAAGGACAGATCCTGAAGCTGAGGCTCCAGTACTTTGGCCATCTCATGAGAAGAGAAGACTCCTTGGAAAAGACCTTGATGTTAGGAAAGTGTGACAGCAAGAGGAGAAGGGGACGACAGTGTCTGCGAAGCAACCAACATGAATTTGTCACAACTACAGGAGGCAGTGGAAGATAGGAGGGCCTGGCATGCTCTGGTCCATGGGGTCACGAAGAGTCGGACATGACTAAACGACTAGACAACAATGTTATTTAAGATCAGCTTCAACACTTTTCTGAGAAAAGACACAAGTGTGTGTGTGTCAGGGAGTTGTGTGCTTCTGTTGAGTGTGACTGGTGCATTTTTATAAAAGTTTTAGTGTTCATCATCCGATGCGCAAAATCATAATGGGGAGCAAGGTCCAATTGACAGAACAGGTTTGCTTCTGATTTAGCTTTTGTAGGATCAGGTTATTCTTCTCACAGTAGTTCCAGGAAGTTGGCTGGTATTTCAGGTAAAATATTAATTCTTGGCTTTGATCTGAAATACTTCTAGCATAGTAGGAAAAAAATAATTAAAAAACAGACATATGTAAAGTTAATTGTGGGGGAACTTTTCTGAAAGATTAAGGAACGGGTTGCATTTTAATAATTGATGTTTGTGATTTGGAGTTGAATGTAATCTTAATTCTAATATTCTGTTTCAGGGTAGATGGGTTTGCATGACACTTTCCGTGCACTAAGGCAGTTCCATGTCTTGTTTGGTAAGCATCTTTTATTTTTAACTTCAGTATTCAATCACATACAAGGATAAGTTTTTGGGTGGTTGCTTCGTTTGCCTGTTTAAGAGAGAACCCTCCAAAATATTTTTGATTCACTTCTTTTATTTCCTTTATACAGTGGTGCCTCGCATAACGAGCGCCCCATTTAATGACGAATCCGCATAGCGATGCAGGTTTTGCGATTGCAAAAGTGATCGCATCGTGATATTCAAATAGGCAAAATATTGCATTGCGATGATCGGTAAGCGTTTCGCTTACCGATCTTTGCATTGCGATGTTTCAAAACAGCTGATGGGCGGTTCCAAAACGGCCGCCGGGTCAACAAAATGGCCGCCTGCAACGTTTTCGCGCCGATTCCTCGCTTACCGAGGCAGCAAAAATGGCGGCCAGATGGAGGATTTCCGCTTAGCGGTGAGTTTATCACCCATAGGAGCGCATTGAAGGGGTTTCAATGCGTTCCTATGGGTTTTTTTGCCCTGTATAGCGACGTTTCTGGATAGCGACGATTTATCCGGAACGGATTAACGTCGCTATGCGGGGCACCACTGTAGTTGACTAAAACCGCTAGGGTCTGAAGCCGAGGTTCCCCACTTGAGTCCCCATCTGCTGTTCTACTACAGCTTTTAGGATCTCTGATCATCGGCTATGCTGGCTGGATTTTCTGAGAGCTGAAGACTAAAAACCTTTGGGGACCCACTTCTGAGAATTACTGTAATGGGCTTAGTTGCAGGGTAGCCTTCCACCTTGAAAGCCTCTACAGATCCCATTGTATGTAACCTTGAGAACAAATGATTTGCTCATTATTTTTCAATATGGCCAGAGACTCCAGACTGATAATTGAGTCTTTAGAAGCACATGTCATCTCTCCTCAGAACTAGTAGGCATGCCTACAGTATCTTTTTTGGGTGTTCATTCTTTGTCGCTTGATGTTGAGATTCTAGCTCCTCTTCATTACAGATGGTGTTATATTTTGTTAGGACTGTTCCTGTATTCTGCGGACACAAGTTGAATCTTTTGGAGTAGAAAAGGACACTGACAGCAGCAGCAGTGGAGACCTGGTGAGTGGAAATGTACACTAACTTAGTTTGTAGTCCTGTCACAATTGTGTGTGCATTAATTTCTGCTAAATTGAGATGGGTTATGTCCAAACTGAAATATATACTACTTTCCTTCTTGCCAAGAGGATTAAACATAAATGAAATAGTGCCTTGCCTAGGCTGATAAAGAGTTCTTGTGGCTTCAAAAACAACATCCCTGTGGAGGAAAACTATAAAACGTTCCTAAAGAGATGGTTAGGCAGAAAGTATAAGTGCTAAAATAGTGGAGAGAAATCTGCTGCCTCTCCAGCTTGCTGGGAGCCACTGAAGAATAGTGACAGTTAACCTCTGGAATCAGTAGCATATATCAGTTATGTATATAAATGATAACCTAGCAAGAGATGGACCAGTTAATTAAACATATCTAGATCCTGCCAGATGTCTTGATATTTTCATTTCACCTGTTGGAAAAATGATAACATAACATCTCACTAATGGACAAAGTCATCAAAGCACAAGTACCTGCTACAACTGTGTACTTCATATCGAATGTCTTACCCCAGAGCATCAGGGGTGAACATACTTTCTCAAGTGACCTCCAGTCACACAGTCAGAGGATACTGGTTTCTACCAGTTTCCAGAAGTTGGCTCTTTCCTCAGGTAACTTCTAATAACTGTTGGTGTCTATCAGTTTTTAGCAGTAGCCTAACTACTGGACATAGAGGAAATGTTGATGCATACCACTTTAAAGTTCCTCACCATGACAAAGATCTTCCATATGGACTCATCAAAGGACATGATAAAACTTTACCCCATTTCACTGACCCCCCCCGTCACCAAGAACAGAAACATAATAAAAAGACCTTGAGTGGGCTAGAGTGTTGGCAGAGCGACAGCATCTGTATAAATATATACTACTCTCGGCAATGTATATACATTACATTTTTAAAATGTTAATCTTTTTGATATTTAGACAGATGAACCAGCCATATGTTGGAGCCAGCCAACTCAAATAGGAGATGAACAAATATTGTGGTCCTCTGATGTGTCCCACTATGATCTCCAGATGGAAATAGGTGACTGCTTGTGATCTGAAAAATTGTACTTCCTACCTACTTTGCTTAAGAGATTTTTGTCAAATGGAATGGGGGGGAATCTAGAATTCCACACATCACTAATTCCATCCAAAAAAATCTGTAATGTAGTCCCGGATCCTGTTTGCTCTGAACATTGCCTGGAATAGTTTGTTTCACACGCGATTCCTCTTTTCCCACTGCTTGCAGAAGCATAGGTGGGTGGAAGGGTTCACTCACTCCCCTGGAGAAGTGGAAAACCCTATTTTCAGAGCAATCTCTGACTTGTCCATCTGCCAGATCAAGTGGAGGACACTGGGCGATTTTGCTCTGCATTTGGCAACAGAATACAGCAGTGCAGTTTTATTTTTGACCTTTCTTAAATCCTTGCTACAGTGGTGCCCCGCTTGACGATTACCTTGTTAAATGAGGAAATTGCTTAACGATGAGTATTTTGCAATCGCTATAGCGATCGCAAAATGATGTTTGTATAGGTTTTTTCATTTAACGTTGATCGGTTCCCTGCTTCAGGAACTGATTTTTCGCTTAACGACGATCAAAACAGCTGATCATCGGGGTTTCAAAATGGCCGCCCACTGTGTTTTAGGACAGATTCCTCGCTATACAGGCACTGGAAAATAGCCACCCTATGGAGGATCTTCACCGGACGTTGAGGTATTTCGCCTGTTGGAATGCATTGAACCGGTTTTCAGTGCATTTCAATGGGTTTTTTACTTTCGCTTGAAGACGATTTCGCTCTACAGCGATTTTGCTGGAACGGATTATCCTCGTCAAGCGAGGCACCACTGTATTTGTTACCGTTTGGTCTGGTGGCAAGCAACACGCACCCCACTGCAGTTCATGGCATGGCAACCAATCCTTAATCCTGAAATTTTGTCAAAACAATTTGAAACCCATGCTTGCAAGCTGAGTTCCCTCTTTGATTGTATGTTTTTCATAGTTTTGGTTTTAACTGGCATGTAAATGACTGTTTAAATGTTAACTTCTGAAGCAGTAGGTAAGAAGGATAATGGAAGATTTTTTTTTTACTCTCATTTGCTAATAGGAAAGGGAAGCAACGACTTAACTTCAATCTACCTCGCACGTCATATCCCTACAGGAACATTAGTGGCTGTAAAGATTACCGATCTGGAAAAATGTTCTGAAGAGCACTTGAACGCTTTACAAGTAAAACAGATTTAAATATTTATATATTTATAAAGTTAACTTGTATGGAGTGGGTTTTGCAATCTTAAAAGGAAAGGTCATAAATTTGCACTCCAGATAGACTTCCAGTTTCTTAACTAATTCTGGGTATGCTAAGATATTCATAAACTTGTGGTCAGATGAAATTATTGTTTTTTCAAGTTGCTGAAGCTTGCACATCTGATACTGCAGTCATCTGCAAATCTTCTATTTCTGATTCAGAGTCTGTTTTCAGATGATTAGTGTGTATAAATAAGAGTATGTGGAGCAAACTGCCCTCTAGATTGTTAAAACACTTAACTCATTTCTTTAGAATGAGGTGATATTATCCCACTCCTTCCGACATCCCAATATCTTGACTCTTTGCGCAGTATTCACATCTGGAAGCTGGCTTTGGATTATTTCACCTTTCATGGCCTATGGTAAGTATTCTGTTTTGGAAAAATGTTTATTGGCTAAATTATCTCTTTGTAGACCGATTGAGCTCTTAGCCTATAGCAGTCCTATGGTTTGAACTATCCCATTCTGTGAATAGGCTGATTATTTCTCCCATATTAACTGGCTGCTTTGTTCCCCACCCCCTAAACCGTCTCTAGTAGCCAAGGACGGAGTGGATTACAATGGCCTCCTCTTTTAGTCTCTACCTATTTTAATCAATGAGACCACCTAAACAAAGGGGAAAAATTGGTAGGAATAAACTACTGTTCAGTAAAAAGTTGTTTTCATACATGCGTGCCTTGAATCCATGGGCAATTATTAACGGTAGCAAAGGTCACCAGTAAAACAGTGTAAGGTAAGAAGTGTACATCTTGTAATGTGCTGAGTAATCCATTGATCATGCATAGCTCTTGATCATAAATGCTCCACAGATTCTTCCTGAGCTTCCTCTGAATTGTAGCAGGCTATCAGATTATGGAGTCACAATTCTAATTATGGGAAGATGATACCTTGATCTTGTTATGATATAAGGGTCTTATTTTTGTTCACTGGCAAATATCCTGCACCTTTTCTAGGCTCAGCGAGTCATCTCCTGAGAACGTACTTCCCTGAAGGTATGAGTGAAGCTTTGATTGGAAATATCCTGTTTGGAGCAATTAGTGGCTTAAGCTACATGCATCAGCATGGCTACATTCACAGGTACCATATCAGAACTTTACAGGAAAGTGGCAGAATGCAGCAGGAGAGGGCTTCAATTAGGGTTTTCAAATCTATTTTGAAAGCCAGAAATGTAGACCCTGTGACCTAATTTGTCCTCAAAAGCTAAATCAAAACATGGCCCCATTTTCCCCCTTCTGTGGCAAGATGGCAAGTTTTTTTCATCAGTCTCAAGGGAAATATATGTCTTTGAGGCTGATTTTCGTGCATTTAACCCAAAACTTAAAACTACAACACCTGCCTTATTTCACTGATTTTTTAAATGTCAGCACATTTGATGAAGTGTTTGCATCTTTATGAGCAATTAGTCCCATGGTATGTGTCTTTATCTGTGTGCTTTAACTTCAGAAGGGGAAAAGACGCAAATCAGAACCAGAAAGTGTTTGATGTTTTGCCCTTCTGTTGGAAGCAACCCCCTCTGAGGCTTGCGAGCATCTCTAGGCTTTTTGATTGTACTTTAAATGAGACATCAGGAACCTTTCTTTACATTCCTGTTTAAAGCATAGGGAAATAAGCTGTGTGTTGTAAACGTGAAAGTTACTGCTAAAATGTACTTGTGTTACATACTGCAAATATGACATCAGAGTCTTAAGTTTAATATCTCTGAATCATTCTCCTAAGCACAACATCACTGTTTGTGTTTCAGAAGTATTAAAGCTAGCCACATATTGATTTCAGGGGATGGCCTAGTTTATCTCTCCGGCTTCAACCACCTTTGCAGTCTAGTCAGCTGTGGCCAACGGTTAAAAGCTGTGTATGATTTCCCACAGTTCAGTACCTCGATGCTTCCTTGGTTGAGTCCTGAGCTACTGAGGCAGGTCAGTGTGTACTGCATTTTAACTGTGGCTGTCCTGTCTTTCTGTGTATACCTGTTAGTGCAAACTGTGCTTCAGAAAGTGCCATTGAAAGTTAAAGCACTCTAGGACATTATCGTGATAGCATAATAACTTTGGTCTATTTTTAATTGTTTTATTAAGACCTGACACACATACACACACCTACCTACCTACCTGCCTGCCTGCCTGCCTGCCTGCCTACCTGCCTGCCTACCTGCCTGCCTGCCTGCCTACCTACCTACCTACCTACCTACACACCTACCTACACACCTACCTACCTACAAACCATGACCTGCTCACATAATGCAAAATGCTTGCTCTAAATCAGCATGGGCCATAATTTCTGTTCTAATAGGCAACTGCTCTTCTCCAGTTATTGTGGAAAATCAGCAGGTCTCTGTGCATACATGATTGAATAGTCATTGTTAACATTTCCATGTCTTCTGTTGATTATATATTAACCAACTGTTGTTTTCTTGTGGAACTTGCATTTAATTTCCAGCACTTGCTTTTCTTACTGTCAGCTAGTTGCTAATTTAAAGCAATAACTTAACTTTTAAAATAAAAACAACAAAAGAACAACAGCCCATAACATAGTACAAAATCAAAATATAGCTGAATCTTGAAGCTGCAAAGAGTCATCCATAGGTTTGCACTTGGGTGCCAGCAGTAAGTGGATGGCACTCTGCCCTGTTCAGGTATGGTATCCAGAAGTGGTTGTTGGCTTTCTGAGCCAGAGTTTGGAGGCTGGCAAGTTGAAGAGGAAAAATGGCTTAAAATAGAAAATAGGTGATGCTGGTAAAGGATGTCTAATGTCAGAGTGGTGAATGGTCATGAGTCCCTCCTTAGAGCTTTGCCTAATATGAAGACAATTCCTTGAGACTAGCCAGACACTTGTGCATGTTTGTATAATTTCCACACCTAACAACTGCAGTGCACCCTATTGGCAGCAGTGCTTGAAGATGGTTTGGAAGCCTACATTGCTGCAGGACTCTGTTGCATGCCTTCTAATTGGTGCTATGAGACAAACAAGTTTTCTGTGTCAGTTATATTAGTTGCCATTCCAACGTTTGTCTTCAGTAGCTAAAACCTTCCAAGACCTGAAACAGTTATCCATTAGCACTATCCTTCCTCATCTGAGCCCACTTGTCACTTGAGATCTAATCAGATCTAGTCATTTTCATGAGCACTGTGACAAGTTGGAATAGCAGTAACTTGGAAGAGTGGCAGTAATAGATTACACGGTTACTTGTCCAGAAACATGGAACTACTGCTACGTAGACGTGAGGGGAAACTGCCTCTTTTTCTTTCTAAAATATTTGCAAGGTCTACACTTTTCTTGACACTGTTGATTTCAAATCCTATTATCTGTGGCTGCTCAGATTTGTATTGTTTGATACTGTTATTGTTTGTTCTCTCTTGAATAGATGGTATTCAGTTAGTTCTTCCTAGAACCACAGAAAGTAGAATGTCTAGAGGAGGACATTCCTTTTCATTCCTCCACATCCTCAAAATCTACTCTGGAAGGTTGGGGGATCCTTTAGAGCAGAGGTCCCCAACCCCCGGTCCGTGGCCTGGTGCTGGTTCGTGGCTTGAGCTGGACTGGGCCACGGAGACAGATTCTCCCCTGCACCCCCCCGCACAGTGCCTTTGCACCTGGGTGAGCGCTCCCCCATCCCTTAGCGCATGCGCATGAGTGCCCCCAAATGCCCTTTGCGCATGCACACAAGCCCGCATGAGCACCCTCCCACTCCTTCGCGCATGTGCACAAGCGTGGGGGTGCCTGCCTTCCCCAACTGATCCACGGGGTTAAAAAGGTTGGGGGCCGCTGCTTTAAAGCAGGCTTTATTTATTTATTTGGCTTTTATACCACCCATCTAGATAAATCTACTCTGAGCGGTTTGGAAGGCTTGGAATGACAAGAGCAGGGAAAAGTCTCACTGTATAATCTGGTCTACTTGGTGATGTTGAATTTCACCAACAGTGCTAACTATTTCTTTATTTGAAAGTTAAAGCACTCTAGGACATTATCGTGATAGCATAATAACTTTGGTCTATTTTTAATTGTTTTATTAAGACCTGACACACATACACTTGAAAGTTAAAGCACTCTAGGACATTATCATGATAGCATAATAACTTTGGTGTATTTTTAATTGTTTTATTAAGACCTGACTGCTTTAAATATAATCGCTGCTTTAAAGCAGGCTTTATTTATTTATTTGGCTTTTATACCACCCATCTAGATAAATCTACTCTGAGCGGTTTGGAAGGCTTGGAATGACAAGAGCAGGGAAAAGTCTCACTGTATAATCTGGTCTACTTGGTGATGTTGAATTTCACCAACAGTGCTAACTATTTCTTTATAAACTGCTTTAAATATAATAAATAGGATCTGACTTATTTAGATATTCTCAGTGTGGCATAGTGGATAGAATCTATCTTTCTTTCGTCGTATCAGAATATTAAATGCCCATACATATATATAAAATGCTCTGATATGACAAAAATAGATTGAAATATAGGTAAAATTAAAAAATAAAAATGTCAAGATAATTAAACTGTTAAACTATTTTTGAATAGAAGCGGGCTACTTCAATAGCATTATCTAGGCCATTTTCTTTTGTACATGTGATGCAGTATAAATAGCATGTACATAAGTACTGCATTGATTCAGTTTCTCCCCAGTCACAAAATTTGTCCTGTATCCTAGTAGTCTCATTTTCCTTGATCTTCCTAGATAGAATGGCAGGCTAGGACTCAGGAGACCTGGATTTGAATCCCCATTCAGCCATGGAAACTCACATGAGGTGGGGAGTGGTTGGAACTCAATAAAACCACCCCTTAAATATCTCACTTACCTTAAGAACCCAGTTAGGGTTGCTATAAGTCAGTTCTGACTTGAGAGCACACAACAACAGTGACAATTTATTTGGACCTATGTTCTGAATCAATAAACCATTCCCTAAAATGTGTAAGTTTTTCCCCCATTTCTCTCCTCTAATTATACATAGCAAGGATTAAAATAAAATATGAATAATGGTGCAGGTTTCAGAAAAAATGACATGGACCATACTGGATGCTGCTTTTTCTTTAATGCATGATGGAAGGAAACAAAATCTTTTATCAGGAGCTTGTAGGTTTAGCTCCACATCTGACCCCTGTGATTCATGTGATGCACTGGGAAAATCCATAGTGAAGCTTCTTTTGCATTGGCTTTTCCATGGGTAAACAGTAGGTCAGCTCTCTCTTGCTCTGTGTGTGTGTGTGTGTGCGTGCATTCGTACACCTCACACTGGGACCACACTGTGAGTGTGGTGTGCACCAGCAACGCATGCCAATTTTGTGATGAGTGGAGTTCCCATTTTTCCTCCTTTTCTGCCCTGGATGGTTCATGTGTTTGGAATTGTTGCACCCCCTTGCCAGCATCCCCTTCCTGATCCTGTTCCCTTCCTGTTCTGCTTTATTGCATGCTCGTTTTATTCCCCATCTCTTGCTCCCTGGTTGTGCAACTGTATTTGTTCTTCTTAAGTGGACATGCATCTGCACAGCCCCTCAGAAAACAGCAGTAGGTAGTAGTAGTAGTAGTAGTAGAAACCTCAGTTGGAATCAGGCACAGGTTTTGCTTGTGCCAAAAGCGGAGAGTTCCTGGTGACATTCCCTGTGACATCGCTAGATGCCACTTTCTCATTGACACGTAGGATGCGTTGATGAAAACCTGTTTCAGGTGTTTCCATGGTCTTGTGTGTTTTGAAACCCTGTAATGATGGGAATATAAATTGCATTGTAATGTTTGGCTGCACCTATAGGTGTTGATACAAAACAGGAAAGACAGTATTCTGAACAGAATTTGAGGACATGTAGATTTGTCTCTGGTAAAACAGTAGAACAGCAAATTGTTCAGTGCGATTCCCTTGTATTTGTATAAACCTCTTACAGTTTGAATTCATCAGTGCACTGTTTTCTTTCATAGGATCTGTATGGATATAATGTGAAGTCTGATATCTATAGTGTGGGCATTACCGCCTGTGAACTAGCTAATGGACACGTACCTTTTCAGGATATGCCTCGGACACAGGTAAAGCATGCATCAATTGTACATGCTTAAGTAAATCTTGTTTGAGGAACTAAGAGTCTGTACTATGACTGACACCCTGTTGCTTAGCATAGTAAGTTGCTAGAGTAGGCCTATTAAATGAGGATTGGGCGAGTCAGCTCCTCTGCAACTTCTGTTGATTCAAATGGGCTTACTCTGTGGTTTACTTTAGTAAGCTGCAGTTAGAGTGGGCTCAGTTGAATCAATCCCCACTGATTCAGTGGGTCTACTCTAGTGCAACTTACTATGCCAAGCAATAGGATTTTGGTTATCATTTTTGATTATCATCATCTATATGACCAGTCAGGAAATGCTTCCTTCATGCTCTCTTGGTTTCATTTGCCTCAGCTGGCAGTATACCTTGTTGGCAGCATGGTATGATTCCAGTTTAAAAACTGAAGCTACAGGAGCTCAGGGAATAGTGGTGATGAGCAACTGTGAAGAAAAGCATTTGCACATGTCATTGAGTTTCCCCCTAAAGGAATATTTCTGCCCAGAGTACTCCTACTGATCCAAAAAAAAAACATGCAGGTGAACACTTGTACAGCCTTAACCTATTGCTTGTCTTGCGTAGGTATTCATTGGACATTTTGCATTGCCCTAACCTTTTTACCAGATGCTGTTGCAGAAGCTTAAAGGTCCATCTTATTGTCCTTGGGCAACAAATACTTTCCCACGTGGCGAATCCAGAATAAAAAATTCCCGTTCAGGGATTGACTCTGGAATTGGTGAAAGTATGACACGTACAATGACAAGTGAGAGACTGCAGACACCACCAAAAACCTTCTCCCCTGCTTTCCACAACTTGATAGAACTTTGTTTGCATCAGGACCCAGAAAAAAGGTAATGCTTTACAAGGAAGAATGGTTAGAATGTTGTGGTTCATAAGCTAACATTACACTTGTATGAGGTTGTATGAAATATTTACATCAAAGCAATATACTTGGTTTTTCATCTTTCAGAATTGCTTTGGGCAGAGTTTTAGCACTTTCCTAGGTGTGCGCATTTTTGGTTTTCTAAAGGAAAGCCCAAATTCCCAGGAAGCTGGATTGCACGCCAGTTCCACATTTTACAGAGGTGCAATGTTGTACATGAGGAACATCAGTGGTGTCAGCCATCAGAGCAGTCCTAAGCGATTTGCTGAGATGGACAACGAGATGTCCGTGAGATTTATATCAAATGGTCTATTTATGGTGGCTATACTTAAACAATTCTAATAGAGCTTAATAGAATCCTGTTGTCTCCTGACCATTTCTAAATCCCCACGAATAGTAATAAATGCAATGCAGTGAGAAGTTAGGAAAGAACAGGCATCTGGACAGTCTTTTCATATTTCTTAAAGCTATGCTTGTCTGCCTGACACACATAATATATGTTGAAGTCATGGAAGGTACAGAGAGGGAGAACTGAATGAAGACAGGAGAGTCATTCACAGGCCTCTCATTCCCTCTAACTTCCCATTTTGCCGCCTGCATGTATTATTTCTGCAGGGCATGTAAGGGCACAGTGCAGGGTGCGGGGGACAGTTCCATCAGCTCTTCATCTATGGACCCTGCATCAGCAAGGCGCATAACCAAATTTAGGTACAGTTGCAACTGGAGCTTTAGTTGATTGATGGGAGATAAGGTCACACTTGGTTTTATTTGAAAGTTGTTTTAGTGACCTAGCTATGTGTGGTAAATTAGAATGGAATAAAGTTGCCATTCAAAAGCGCACATGCTGAGGCTTTTTTCCATGTGCAGATGTATTTTACTTAATCACAACAGTCAATTAAACAGCAGGAATTACTGCATTCTATAGTTGGCTGACAATTCTAATTCCGAAGCTACTCGCATGACATGAGAATGAAAAATACATGTTCTGCGAAATTAATAGGATTTTGAAAATATTAAGCTCCTCAGTCAAGGGTATGATTAAATTGAAAATCTTTTACTTGATTTTCCCAACCCTATTAACCTTAGTAATGCACTGCACAAAAAGGGGAAATAATGGCCAGCTAATTTATTTGCAAAGGTTAAACCCTAAGTTTTGTGTTTTCTTCCTGGGATCTAGGCCATCAGCAAGAGGTCTGCTATCACATGCTTTTTTTAAGCAGGTGAGTGTGTTATAAATGTCATTCGATTTGCTAACTACAGCTAAAGATAATGACTAAGGCTTTAATCTAGAAAATACATTAAAATTTGGAGAACAAGATATTCATACCTGATATTCTTATAAAACCCAAATAGTTGGTATGGGGATAACTTTAATGGCTAGACTACTATGAGCTACGTTGTACAATGAAGGAGGAAGATACTTGCAGACGTGGTACAGTCACCTTCCAAAAAAATAAAATATTCTGAAGACTATACAATACTACCTGTGAGTCTTCACCTACTTTTTCTTGCAGCACCACTGATCGATTGTTAGCTGTCTGGTAGGGCAAAGGCAGCTATTTAGTCCTCAGTGTTAGCTGCAGGGAAACAGTGGTGTTTGGGGTCGCTGCTTGGAGGAGGAGGCTTTAACTTTGCCCCTTTCCCAGTGATCTTAGTGTAGAAATCAGTTTACCCACGGCTAAGAGTTGCAGAGAAACTGCAGTCTTGATTGGGGCTCTTGGTGGGAGGTGGGGCAGGCCTGAGCAATGCCATGCAGAAGGCAGGAAGGGGAGATGTCTGAAGGTTCTACAGTATCACTAATTCCATGAATTTAGTTAGAAGTAGAGGCAATGAACCATTAAGCATGCCTTTTTTTTCATTTTTTTGAAGAAACCAGAGTGCAGGTGCATCTTTCATGGAAGAAACCAGAATTTCAAAATCTGCCCAGTTCACCTGCTGTAGGATGAGTGCATCTGAACATTTCCCCAGTTGTTTCTGGCTGTTTGTGAGACCAAATTCAACATGGCAGTTACTGGATTTTCTCTTTGCAGGTAAAAGAACAAACAAAGGCTTCCTTCCTTTCCCTTTTGCCTCCTCCCATCCAGTACACTCCATCACAAACAGCAGCTGTGCCTTCAGCAGCCCTCTGGACCCAGCCTGGAGGGTCTTGGCCAAGTGGAAGAGAGATGCATTGGGAATCCTAAAGATGTGAAATCATACCTCTGACATCTCTCTCTGTGAAAAAAAAGTTGTGATTTCTTTGCTGCTTTTGTTTTTATAATTTTAACATTCAAATAATCATGATATACTTGAAAATTTTAATTCTCTGTACAGATGATGCTTTTATGGGGAGGAAATGCCTCCCAAAGTGATACTAGGTGAATAACCTTTACTTCTTTAATAGCCAGAAATGTCAATATACAGTACTCTTAAGCATTTCCCCCTTATTCTTGTAACTATATTGTAACAGTGCCTATTTTGTAATAAAATTCTTGCTTGGTATGACACACCTGTACTATTACCACATTTGAAATATTTAATCTGAAAAACTGTCTCTGCACTCAGTGTTTTGCTCTGCTATTCATTTCTATATCACCAAGTTTATAAAAATGTTTTCTTATAAAAACAAGTGCCTTTTCTTACTTCAAAAAGAGACAGTGTGGAAACCTGGGGGAAACCTTGTGCCTCTTCCTACAGAAACCTCTTCCTACAGTTGGAGTAGCCACCACTGTAGCCTGGAATAGCTGTGATTTTTCTAATGCAAAGTAATTCTTTGTAAAAACTGACTGAGGAAGGATAATTTGCCCAATAACAATAAAAACAGGTGCCTGAAATTACTTGATTATGTTCTCTGTAAAGATACTGCTAACTAGCTTCTGGCTGTGGTAGTCACTGAGAAGCATTGCTTGTCAGAGCTTACACTGAACTCACTTTTAAAAGGCAAGATTTCAAGTTACAGTTTGTATGACTAATGTGGAAAGAAGGAATCTATACAGTGCAGACAAGTAAATTAGGAAAATTTGCTGAATCTCAGAGATGGAAAGAGGAATGAAGGGACTTCAGCAACACAGATATCAGAAGTATATTGCAGCAGGCATTATTCTAAGAATAGAGCAATGATTCTAAACTATCTTAACTGTAGCCTTTGCATTTTGACCTTTCTGATGTGCCTTTTATTAAGAATGGACACACTGGTCCAAATGGCAGATATGAAGCAAGAGGGAGAATAAAAAGGGCAGACTGGCAAGAACCAGGCTTTCTGTTCTTATTACTCAAGTACTGTGAATGATTGAATGATGATGAAATTAACCAAAATTCTTGTTCTCTGTACAAAACTATTTTTGGGGAGTGGGGGAGGTTAGTATTGAGACATTTAGCATTATATTTTATTAATGTACATTGTTTTTGATCATGTACAATACATATTACTTTTATGTCTTAAATATGTAACCTCACAAATTTATATCAGATGTGATCTTGTTAGCATCACAAAGGTTCTTCTGAATAGAAACTACTGAAGTAAAATTATATAATAACTGCCTTTGCTGTTCTAAATCTTGATAAGTATAACTGGAATAAAATATACTTATTTAATTGAAGCTTTTCATTTTGTCATCTTTTGAGGGTATTTATTTCATCTCAGTAAGTACAGAAAAACTGCAGTCTGTTTACTTAGAAATAAGCCACAGTGTTAAATTGATGTAACAATGAATAAGTGTGCATATTGCTCTGTGCTTTCAAGCTCCTTCCAACTTATGTTGACCCTACAGGTATGTGAGTTTTGAAGGATGTGAAATGTTTGTTATGGCCACCCCGACTGACTTTCTATGGCTGATAAGGGATTTGAAAACAGGTCTCTTGAGCCCTGGTCAAGACTGGTGCTTCAAACCAATCTACAGTGGTGCCTCGCATAGCGAGGTTAATCGGTGCAGCAAAAATCGCTGCAAAGCGATTTTGTTGCTATATGATTTTAAAAAGCCCATAGGAATGCATTGAAACCCCTACAATGCATTCCTATGGCTTAAAACCCATCTTAAAGTGGAAATCCTCCATACGGTGGCCATTTTCGCTGCCCGGTAAGCGAGAGATCCGCGCGAAAACACAGCGGCAGGCCATTTTTTTTACCCGCCAGCCATTCTGGAACCGCCAATCAGCTGTTAGAAAATCATCGCTTTGCGATAATCGATAAGCGAAACAGGGTAATGACCATTGCAAAGCGATTTTTCCCCATTTAAAACATCGCAATGCAATGGCAAAAAGTTAGTTGGTATGCGATTTTGTCATTAAATGGGGCGCCCATTAAGCAAGGCACCACTGTACAAACAATATTATTGCAATTCTTTGTGTGCTGGAAGGTGGCCATCATCACGGCTATATAGCTTTTTCGTGCATCAACTTTATATTGCATTGCACCCAAAAAATGGGAAGGTTCTTCAGCTAAAAAGTTGTTTTCTTTCCTGCACTACTTTCCTTGTTTATTTTTACCTTGAATGATCAGCTGGAACAACCTTTTCTGATTTTCATGTGAAGGGAGTATTCTAGCTATTTGGATCTTGTAGGCCATATCCTGTTGTGTTGTGACCACAGAATTTCTGTGTTACATGCTAGTCTCGCCCTAGTCACAAGATCAGTTATGCAACTGGCTGTGTGATTGGCCACAAGACAGGAGATGTGCTAGAGCAGGAGGAAGCTTGCAATTTCTCTTGCACTTTGAACAGGAGGGCAGCCAATATATTTTATTACTGTTTTTGTTCTCCGTCATCCAACTTAAGACTGTTAGTCACTCTCTCAGTTCAAGAGATTTCTAGCATCTTGGCATAACTCTGTATTTCATGTAATTCTTGAAATCAGAGTTATGGCAGGATGCTAGGAATCTTTTGGACTAAGAGGGTGACTAATAAAAGTTTTCATTTGGACCGTGGAGAACAAAAAAATAATAAAACACAGAGATATCTTGTTTAGAGTGCTCTGAACAGAATACTCTGGTTTCTCTTCAGATTGTATTTCTCTTGATTCTCTCTAGTAGCCTGTGTAAAAACCTATGGGTACAAATCATTCAGTAGAATGAACAATAAACAACACTGTAAATGTACGTTCTGAAAGCCAATTTCAAATTGTTGCTCCATGTTGTCATTTTCTTAAGGAAGCTGCTCTTGGTCCTCTCTGTTTGATTTTTATGCCATTGTTATGTTACCCCTGTTCATTCAACCAAATGTTAAGGTACTTAATATTGTTAGTACACTACACATGTTTGTTTTGGGCCTTTAAATGCATTTCTTGGGCTCCTTGGTTTTTACTGGTTACTAATGAACTCTGTTTCCCTAACAGCGATGTAATGTCCAAACCACGGGTGAGGGGAGGTCAAAGAGGTTGTCATCCTTCCACAGGAGAGTGGTTTATGCTGCAACCCAGTAACAATTTGTTGAGGGACTATTTACAACTGGGCTAACCACCCTGATGCTAGTCTCTAGGTAGGTTGCCCCACTTGCAACAGTTCAGGCTTCAACCCCTGCTTCTCTCCAGTTCAGATGGCCTTCACCCAAGAGTGCTTAAGACCCAGTGACCCTTTTCTCAAGTCCTGCTTGGTGCCCCAGCCTCTGGTGCCAGCACATCAACCCTTCTGTGCCTGCAGGTCCCTTTCTAGTTACTCTCATTTTCGGGGGAAGAAGATTTAAGATGGGAATGAAAATGAATTTAAAATGGAAATAAGGTATGTTAGCTTCTTATTGATTTGATTAGAGAGAGAAAGGAATCGCTTGTTTGCTGCTCTTTTTCACAATGGACAAACTAGAACCAGAGGAAAACCATTGAAACAACATTTGGACCATGTCCGAGAGCAGGGGAGGTAAAGACTCTCTCAGTAGGGTTAATGGCCCTGGAATGTTCTGGTGTTTGAACCACACAAACCCAGTGTGTGCATCACAGAAGACTACGAAGACGAAGACTACGATGGGCACATAAGAGAGCGTCGCAGTGTACAGTACATAATAGGGAGTTAATGTATAATTATGTATAATTTTAAAAAAACTAGCTTTTAAGTCTCTTCTAACAATTACCCACACATCTTTAATCAGCAACTCCTTTTCTAAAAAAAGAAACACTCTTGTTGACTGTTAATAAATCAAGTAACTTTTAAAACATCCCTGAACCTTTTGTTTTTTTAAGGAGTATGTACAAAGAGGGCTTTATTTTGTATCACAGCTGGGACAAAATGGTGACACAAAAGGACAGACACAACCAGTTTGGACACCGAGAGTTTCATTCATTCTTGGGACAGAGTGTTATGCTTCAAAACCTTTTGGAGAATCCTAAGTACTACTTCCAGTTGTTCAGGTGTCATTTTCAAGGTTTGCTCCTGATTGTGGAACATCTCCGATATTGAGCCTGCTTGATTTCTTGGAGTCTCGAAGACAGAGGAAAAGGACCGCGATGCATTTTTAGAGATGAGAGCATCAGCACCTGGAGCAGTGTTTGGCCTCCCTTGGAGGGAGCTGCTTTCTGGGACTCTTCCTAAGTCAAAAAGAGCCCTTTCAACCGCCTTTTCAAGATGCTTGAAAGATTCTGCATTTAATTCATCTGGTTCTGCAGGGATCTAAATAATTAGAGGAAAAGTAGGTAAATGTCTTGTATATGTGTGAAGCCATTGTGACAATGATAACAACGTTCACATTGGTTCTTCCCCGATGCACTTAGGAATTGGCTTATGTAGTAGTATACTTTATTATGGTCAAAGACCAGTTAAACCAAATCAATATAAAATAGATATATATAATTACAGTGGTGCCTCGCACAACGATGTTAATTGGTTCCAAAAAAAACCCCGTTCTGTGAAACATCGTTCTGTGAAACACCATTTCCCATAGGAATGCATTGAAAACTGGTTAATCCGTTCCAATTGGAACGGATTGCCGTCCTTAAGCGAAAATCCCCATAGGAAACATCGTTGAGGGAAACGCGGTTCCCCAAGTGAAATGCATTGAAGCCGACTCAATGCATTTGAATGGGTTTGCGAAGTCCCTTTTCGCTCCTGTAAAAGTGCCTTAAACTGTTTTAAAAGTGTTTTAAATGCTTGGCATCTTTAGCCCACCTCCTGAAACCTACGCAAACTTAATTTGGTGTTGTTCTGAGTCTTTGTTAATTTTTGGTGATTTTTTGTTTTCTCCATTGA